TTGTTTTCTTGTTTTTCCTGTCCACTGTCGCTACAAGCATGCTTAGTGTGAGGGATTGCTGATGAGTCAATGAGTCAATGCAATAAACTGGTTTTCCTTAGATAGAAAACTATGAATCAATTTGACTTTATGATCTGGTGAACTGTAAAGTGCCTTGAGATGACATGTGTTGTGAATTGGCGCTATATAAATAAACTGAATTGAATTGAACTTACTGTTAATGGTCAGATAAGCCTGATAAATGAACAGGTAATGAGGAAATGAAAATAAAAATGGACTCAAAGTTGAGGTTTTATTTCAGCTCATCTGTACCTCTATAACAGGAGACACATGATTACTGAATTCTAATTACATTTTCTTAAAAAAGAAATTTCAGTTTTTATCAACCCGTGATGTAAAAACTATTAAATTTTATCCAACCAGCGGCAAAACCAAAATTTTAAATTGCTCAAAAGGATCTTCAATTTCTTAGTGACATACAAGTTATTATTTTGGTACAAAAATTGTAAATGGAAATATTACAAAATTAACTTCAAGATCAAAAGCGATTTAAAATGTGTGCTTTTTTTATTTGCTTTGTAGAACGTTTGGAAAGTCGTCTGCAATCGAAAAATACATGTCCCAAAAAGGAGGGAGCGCTGGCCAGCAACGAGTTCATCTGTAAATACAAGATAAGGAATGAACAGAACAACAGGTTACAAGAAGAGGAGTCTGAAAGCCTGGAGGTGCAGCTGGAAACCCCCTGCCTGTCAGGGGAATCAGGATGTTAGGGTTTTCATGCATTTCATATGTAATTTATCTTAAGATAGAACAATACTGTAATTACACTCTGAACACTTGCAGTGTAATAAAATGCAATAAAAAAAGCTTTCCTTCGAAGAAGATAGAAGTGTGTGAATGAATTACAGGGAAACCCCATTAGAAAGATGTGATCATGACAGATAAAAGAATAAAAAACAATTCTTTCTAAAAGGCATTAAAGAGGAAATGTTCACACAGAAAGAATTTGAGTCATATTTAGAAAAGCGGGATGATAACAATCAAAAATAACAATCTAATTGGCAGCCACTAAAAATAATAGTTTTGTACAATTAATTCTCTGTTGCATCTGAAAAAAAGTTTTGTCATGTGTATTGTTAGAGTTCAAAGTCTGCATCTATTTTTAATGGTTTTCTTTTGCTCTTTTCTGGCTGTCATTTTGTGGTCGAACAAATAGGGAATGATGTGATGAAGAGAAAATGACATAAAGAAAGTTTGTTGCTCTTGATCTACACTAAAACATACATAGACGGTTTCTGTAATTTAATAACAAAGTTACATATAGATGTACATATAGTGTGCAAACATTGAATTAATCATTAAAGAACAGACGGTGTATTCAAACAATAAATAACATTGTTAGAGTTAGGGCCAATTTTTTTAAAGATTGAAATCTCCCCCTTTTTAACAAAAGGAACTGGTTCATTCTACATGGACATAGTTCCTACATCCCTGGAAAACCTGTAAATGTTTGGCTGAAATTTGATGTGTATCTTAATAAATCTGTTTGAAATTCTGAAATGTTTATTATTTCACTTGTACAACAGCTGACAAAAACACTTAAATACACAAAAGTAGTTACATTTCTGAAAACAAAAAAAAAAAAACTTCTGTCCTTGTGGTTTCCTTAAATAAATGAAGTGTGAAAAAATATAAATTTCAATCAGAGGGATTTTATGTTCCTTTCTCATTTCACACAGGAAGATCAATATTAATGCAGCCCACCTACATAAATTTCCGTTGCTGCCTAATTAATGGGTTTTGTGTAACTTCAAGGTAATTATGATGTAATTTATCAAATTTGACATTATATTTTTATTTCAATGTTTGTAAAAGAGATATTAGACAAACTACTGTGGTCTTTTGGGGTAGTTTTAGGACCTCAGAGGTCTATTTAATTTTCTAAACACTGTGAATCTGGTTAGGTTCTGCCACGAAAACCATTTTATTTGTATTTAAACCAAAATGAGTTTCGAAGAAAAGTAATTAACGGGCTATTTCTATTATTTAAAAAACAACCTACGAACTATATGCTAAAAATAAAGTTATTATAACGTTATAAAATATATATACATGTTGGCCAGGGGTGGCGCTGTAGGACGGAAGCGCCATATTTTTTAACCGGAAATGAAAGCAGTTTTCTAAACAACATGGCTGCCTCCTCACAGCTGTCATGCCGAACAGAGAAATTAGTTCAGTTCGGACCATTTTTACTTTCTTAAAAGTGTTTTGGGATTATTTAAGAAAGCTGTGACTTGGTTTTATTAATTTCAGCATCAAAAGCTGTTGGTATGGCTGCAGTCTTCAGAGGGAAGGTCAGGACGGTGGCCTCTTGGAGCAGGAGACTGTCAACCCAGCAGCATTCTGGACCTCAGGAGTCTCCAACCGGGGGCGAGTTACTTGCAACGAGGGGTCGCAGACAGAGAAAAGATCCCAGCGACCGATCTGTGCTTCTCTTCCCCGGACAGGGCAGTCAGTTCGTGGGTATGGGTAGAGGACTGACAAAGTACCCAAATGTGAAAGAGATGTTCTCCGCAGCGGAGAATATCCTCGGCTACGACCTGCTGTCTCTGTGTCTGAAGGGTCCGGAGAAGGAGCTGCAGAAGACGGTGCACTGTCAGCCGGCGGTGTTCGTCACCTCTCTGGCTGCTGTGGAGAAACTGCACCATGAAAACCCAAAGGTCATAAACACTTAACCCTCATCTGTGTTTGGATTTTAACTGGAGATTAATGCAAGAGAATACATGGTATTTTTCAACACTGTAAATGTGTTTTTAACCAGTTTTACATGCAGATAAATCCACCACCTTCTTGATAGATTAATTATCCCTTCTTACTATTATCATAAGTGAACTAAAACTTGTTTTTCATCAATTGTTTGCAGTTTATTAGAACTTCCAGATTCCTGGTTCCTCTTATCTTCTCTACCTAAACATAATTATCTAAGCTTCCAACATTACTGATACTTTATGTGTTGTGCTTCCTTCTCAACAGGCCATCGAGACGTGTGTCGCTGCAGCAGGTTTCAGCGTTGGTGAATTTGCTGCTCTTGTCTTTGCTGGAGCCATGGACTTTTCAGAAGGTAAGCAATGCATGCTTTTTAAACACAGATTGCTTTATCTATAGAAGGTTTGTTGGATGATCTCTGAAGCTTTTTCTGCTTTCCTTTTCTTCTAGCTTTATATGCAGTAAAGGTGCGTGCAGAAGCTATGCAGAAAGCCTCTGAGCTGACTCCAAGTGGGATGCTGTCGGTCGTCGGCAGACCTCAGGCTCAGTATAAATACGCCTGTCTTCAAGCTAAAGAGCACTGCAAGAGTCTAGGGATCGAGCAGCCGATTTGCTCTGTGGCCAACTATTTATTCCCTGATGGCAGGGTTATTGCTGGCCACCAGCAGGTATGGAGCCACATACAAGTTAATTTTCTTGCATTGAAAATTTTTTTGATATAGCCTTGTGCTTTTATTTTAGGCATTGGATTTTCTCCAGCAGAACTCACGGACTCTACAGTTTATGAGAACCAAACCTCTACCAGTTAGTGGTGCTTTCCACACTGAGCTGATGGCATCTGCTACTGAACCTCTCAGAGAGGTGCTGCGACAGGTGGAGGTCAGTCAGCAAACACTTGATTCAGGCTGCACGGCTACTCCTTTACACGTGTTGTATGACCTTCTAACTTTCTTAATGATTTTGTTATCTTGTCAGTAAAATAACATTATACAAAGTAAATCTAATCTTTTAAAAATTACCTTTCTTTTTATTCCTTGAAATAATAATGGAGTTTTATTTTATTTTAATGAGCTATTGACCACAAAAGGTGAAAAAATGCTGCAGCTATTCGGAAACCAAAGTGCTATAAAGTATAAATGTTTATAAATGATAGATAAAAATGCAATAATGTAATTAGTTAAATAGCATTATTCTTAAAGCAAAGCTGTGTAACTTTTAGACACTAGGGGTGCTAGACCTGTATCGTCTTGGTTTAGCGCCCCTGAACTGGCAGAATTCCATTGTTGCTACATTAATTGGTCACAATTAGTTCTCAACAGCGGAACAGTAGATTAAAAAGTCATAAAGTAGCTTGTAAATTCAATGAAACCTTCATTCACCCCTCTAGATTCAATCCAATATCAGAGAACCACAAGCTTGTCTGATCAGCTAAGGGTCTCATCGGTTTTTTGTCTGACTACAACGTTTTACGGTTCGCTCTTATGTTTAAGTAAAGCTAAGATTGCTTCAAAGTGGCTCTTTGGGTCACAAGACTCATTCAGTGACGGATCTAATCCTCTCAAGTTACACAAACCTGTTTTTAAGTAAGACAGCCCACATGGAGCAACAATATACACCAGGTGTCTTCATGTTGACCTGAATTATATTCTAAAATATTATAAATTAAACTAATACTTGACTGAAAAGTTACTAATTGTTGCTTTAGTAATCAAAGTTTTTATGACCTAGGCATTCATTTTCTTAAATGTGTAAATTATTATATTGAAACATGAACTTATACTTAGAAATAGTTTGTAATAATTGCTGTATTCAGTTAATTGTTTCACATTTTATTTTAAATGTCATTTTAGGTCTGAGCAGATGTCAACATTTAATTGGTTGTCTGACAAAAGTCAGATCAATCACATTTCATTTAACCGTGTTTGGCCTGCAGACTGACGGCTCAATAAAATGTGCAGAACTATAATAAATAGTTATAAAAACGTTATTCTTATTATTTGCAGATATTACAGATATTACAATTATTCTTATTTAATGAATTAAAAATGTAAAAAAAAAAATATATATATATATATATATATATATATATATATATATATATATTTAGTTGTTTTTTTAATGTAATACATTTAACTAAATGTATAAATATTGAATCAAAAATGAAAATGTAGCATTTTTTGGCCACTAAAAAAACTCCTTGGTTTTTGTTATTGTGTTTTAAACATTCAAATCTGATTTGGCATGTTTTATACCCCATAACTATATTTAGTTATTTTGCTTTTTAAATTAAATTTCAGCTCCATCTTCAGTAGGAATCAGTTTTGTTTGTGTCTTGAAAACTTCTTTAAATCAGCTGAAAGTTTTCGTTCTGAACTGTTGTTCATCTTGTCAAATTTGAAGAATAATACAATCAAAATCTTTTTTATAGCAAGTTTTAGGTCAAAGGTGATTGGTATTATTAGCATCTTAGCAGAGCATGCATAAAGTCTGGCCTATGTTGTGTCATTAGGTCAGAATAATCATTTTTCCACATAGTCATATGAAAAAGTTTGGGCACCCCTATTAATCTTAATTATTTTTATTGCTAAATATTTGGGTATTTACAACAGCTATTTCAGTTTTATGTATCTAATAACTGATGGACTCAGTAATACTGAATTGAAGTATTGAATTGAAGTTTATTGGACCAACAGAAAATGTGAAGTACACATTAAAACAAAATATGACGGGTGCAAAAATATGGGCACCTCAGCAAAAAAGAGACATTAATATTTAGTAGATCCTCCTTTTGCAAAAACAACAGACTCTAGTCGCCTCCTGTAGCTTTTAATGAGTTCCTGGTTCCTGGATGAAGAGATTTTTGATAATTCTTCTTTTCAAAACGGTTCCAGTTCAGTTAAGTTTGATGGTCGCAGAGCTTGGACAGCCTGCTTCAAATCATCCCACAGATGTTCAATGATATTCAGGTCAGGGGATTGGGAAGGCCGTTCCAGAACATTCTAATTGTTACTCTGCATTAATGCCTGAGTAGATTTGGAGCGGTGGTTTGGATCATCATCTTGCTGAAATATCCATCCCCGGTGTGACTTCAACTTTGCAACTGATTCTTGAACATTATTCTCAAGAATCTGCTGATGTTGAGTGGAATCCATGCGACCCTCAACTTAAATAAGATTAGTAGTGCCAGCATTGGCAACGCAGCCGCAAAGCATTATGGAACCTCCTCAAAATTTTATAGTGGGTAGCAACTGTTTTTCTGGGAACGCTGTTTTTTTGTCTCGCCATGCATAACGCCTTTTTTATGACCAAACAACCCAATCTTTGTTTCATCAGTCCACAGGACCTTATTCCAAAATGAAGCTGGCTTGTCCAAAGTGCTTTTGCATACCTCAAGCGATTCTGTTTGTAGCTTGCTTGCAGAAAAGGCTTCTGTCGCATCACTCTCCTATACAGCTTCTCCTGGTGCAAAGTGTGCTGAATTGTTGAACGATGCACAGTGACGCCATCTGTAGCAAGATGATGTCTTTGGAGGTGGTCTGTGGGTTGTCCTTGACCATTCTCACCCTTCTTCTTCTTCTTCTCTGCCGCTTTATTTTTCTTCGCCTGCCACTTCTGTGCCTAAAAAGAACTGTCCCTGTGGTCTTCCATTTCCTTACTATGTTCCTCACAGTGGAAAGGACAGTTTAAATCTCTGAGACAACTTTTTGTATCCTTCCCCTGAACGACTATGTTGGACAATCTTTGTTTTCAGATCATTTGAGTTGTTTTGAGGCGCCCATGATGAATCTTCAGAGGAGATTCAAACAGGAGAACAACTTGCAACTGGCCACCTTAAGTACATTTTCTCATGATTGGATACACATGGCTTTGAAGTTCTAATCTTAATAAAGTTACCAAACCAAGTTTGTGTTTCAGTAAGTCAGTGAATAATAAGTAAGGGTATTCAAATCAATGAAATAATTAAGGTTTTCAAATTTTTGCACCTGACAAGTTTTGTTTTAATGCATATTGCACATTTTCTGTTATTCCAATTAACCTCAAATCAATACTGAAATATTACTGTGTCATTCAGTTATGAGATATATCAAACTGAAATAGCTGTTGCAAACACCAGAATATTTAGAAATAAAAGTAATTAAGATTAAATGGGGTGCCCAAACTTTTTCATATGACTGTATTATGCATATTTAATTGAAATTAAGGCTGCAACTAGTAATTATTATGGAAATCGATTAATCTGTCTGTTATTTTTTGATTAGTCGGATAGCCAAAGGTTCTTTAAGAAGATTTTTTACTAAATTAAAGCAGGTAAAACTAAAATGTTTCCACTTGAGGAATTCTGGTTAGAGCCCATTGACTGAAGAAAAAAGTTTTTTTTTATTTTAAATGCAAAATGTTTACATATTTTTTTTACAATTTTGACATAATTACTGCTCTAAGTGGGTCACTGTCAGCTAAAGGCATATTTTAGAGTCTCTATACTCCAGTTAATGATTAATCGATTACTATATTAGTTGTCAATTATTTCAATAATCGATTATTCCGATTAATTGTTTTATCCCTAATTAAAATCATCAAGTTGATCCATATCAATGCTGCTTTCTGCAAAAATAAAAAGCCTCAATCTTTAAATTTCCTTCTCTTTCAGCTGCGGCGACCCGAGATCAGCGTCTACTCCAACGTGGATGGCAAACGGTACATGAACGAAAGCCACATCCGCAGGCAGCTGGTCAGGCAGCTGGTGTCGCCTGTAAAATGGGAACAGACTCTCCATGAGATCTACGAGAGGACGCAGGGGGAGCGCTTCCCTCAAACATACGAGGTCGGCCCTGGGAAGCAGCTGGGCGCCACGCTCCAGAAGTGCAACAGGAAAGCGTCTCAGTCGTACTCTCACGTGGACGTCACTGCGAACGAGGAGTGACTGTGCAGAAACGAGGACTCTAAATACAGCATTTTTAGAATAGATCCTGTATAAATTTATATTTAATAAAATGTTTTTTCATAACAAACCAGCCAGTCATCTTTTCTCATCTTTAAGTTTATTTGTAAGAAATGAAAAAGCCTTTTTTTTTTAAATCTGCAACAGAAAGTCCAGCTCCCGTCATTAAATCGCAAGCAAAGCTACATCATTTGTAAAAAAGTTTGGCCTCTTTAACCAGTAAGAAACTGCAAAAAACTGCAGGCCAGAAACAGTCCAGTCAGTTTTTTAGTGCTACAACGTTCTGCCAAACTTTTCAGCAAAACTCCTTTACAAAAAAATCCAAACCAATCGAGCTGCTTTGAAAAATTTAAATACATATTTTTAGTTTTATTCTAAAGAGTTTGCTGTCTATGCTGTCACCGTCAATACAGCTCATAGAAAGGATATCAAACGAAAGGTTAAAGTAAACAGCAGAAACACAAATCAGCATTAATTTTCACTTCTCTGAAAACATTTTTTTTTTCTTTTTGTCAAACATCTTAATGCTTCATCCTGGCCTCTTCTTAGGCTCTCTATTCCTTCCACAGTGCTCCAAAAATGCTTGCTGCAGCCAACAGAGCCACAGCTATGACTGCTCCTCTGGTCCAGCCAGGGCAGGTCACTGCTTTCAAACTGGACACCTAAAAAAATAAGAGAAATTATGGGGATGTCCCGAGCAAGGAAATAGCTCTAGATATGTTAATTCACAGCTAGGTGAAGCAGCTCTGTATCCTTAAATTAAATGGATAATGAAATATTTTGTGCACCTTTTAAGAGTGTTTGACTTGGACAAAAATTGTCATTTCTGTATACACAGTGTTTACAAAACAAAATACTGATGCATACAGCTTTTCAACAGTGAAATGAACATTTCCATTAATAAAGTGCAGCAGTGATGAGGCTGTAAACTGTAGGAGAAAAGGAATCCAGTTTAAGCACATGGTGCAAAAGGCACTGATATGGAAAGGTTCAGTGCAGTGTAAATAAATAAAGATGATGCAAAATGCAGTTAAAAATATTGAGTTAAATTATATTTTAAGGGATTATGAAAAAAAAATTTGCCATATAGTGCAAATATTATGTGTAAATGTGTGATGCAGAGACTTTATTAGTGTCATTATTGGAGTTTTAACAGTATTTCTATCAAATCTTGGATAACTGTCCAAAACATCTAGAAAAAAGGCTCTGTTCTCTTCTAATCGGCTTACTTCTAGGATAGAAACACGAGGCTATGGCATCCATTACCTTATTTTTTTTCTGTTCCATAGAAAGTATTGTCTGAGTTCTTTCTTTAGTTGTGTCTTTTTCCTGGAAGGAGCCAATGGCAGCTCTGCAGTTTTTATTTTTTGTACCTTTCCACACAGTTTTCTCAAATAGAAAGTACTCCTAGTTTCTTTCTGCATAAAGCTACAAAGGCTCTGTGACTCCTCTAAGTACAATCTGTTTCCTTTCCTATAGAGTTAAACCCTCTGAGTCAAAGGGATGAAGCTTTTAACAAAAACACTGTTGCCACTAACCTCACAATGAGGTTTAATCTATCTCCAAATCAATTTAATGACATTTTAGTATCCTTACTTCTTCAAAAACATCTTTAAGCTTTGCAGATATATTTGTTTGTTAGTTTGATATAGAGATGAAATAAGCATGTTTTTTTTAAGCAGGCAACTGTTGCCTTCAGAATAAAAATATCTGCTGCTAAGCATTGTTATAAAATTAAACCATAGAAGTTTTTTGTTAAGGAATTGCTAAATGAAATATTACCCAGGCTGCCACCGTATCTGCTCTTAGGTTCTGCCCAGGCGTAGCGCTGACAATCCAGGCCTTTACCGGAGCCAACAGACCCTGGAAACCCCATAACTGGCTCTGGAGATCCCTGCAAAGAGATAACAACGATATTAAGGCCAACAGGAAATGTGAGATTGAAAAAAACAACCTGTTTTTGTACCTGTAGATGATGCGTGTCAGAGTTTGGGCAGGTCTCAGCAGGTACAGAGGACTTGGCGGCCAGTTTGGATCCCTCCTGGCCCACTCCTGGTCCAGATGATCTCCGATTAGAGCCAACTGTCGACCAACGACCCTCACAGCCCTGTCACGGCTCCTAAACCACGGAAACCGAATGGATTTTTATTTACATCTAACAATAAAACCCAATTATATGAAAGCTCAAATGGAAATCCTTTTTTTTTATTGTTCTTGTTAATGCAATACACATGACAATTCAGTTTTTGCTTGTGTTTTGCTGCTGTACCTGAGGGTCACATCCACCACCTCTCCAGGTCCAGCCTGGAGGGTCACAGCACGGTTCGGACGTCTGGTTTGTTCCACCATTGTGTTTTCTGAAAAAGAGCAACATTTTCAGATGAGTTCTTGTCAAAATAGTTCTATCAAAGCCAACATTAAACATGCAGGTTGGTTTAAGCCTGCATTTGATCATGCATTATCTCCACTGGACTTCTAACGTTCATAAACAAGCTGTGTACATAAGAGAACATGTGACAAGGATGGGTGGCGCCTGTTACCAGGGAGAGAGTCCAGGTAAAAAAAAAAAAAAATGTTTGAAGTGGTGACTTCATTTATTTGATTGCTGCTAAACTGTTTTACTTCCCCAATTTCTAAGAGCTGTACATCTAGAAACATTACCTTTTAATAACACCTTAATAGTGGGCCTTGTTAGGTTTTATTTAAAGTTTTTTTCCTAAATCATCTGTGCACCTGAGCTGAGATCATACCTGTTGTTCTCATGCCCTTTAATGCAAATGACACATTTCCATTACCCAAATCAACCAAACGGCTTTTCTTTCCTCAGTAAGAAGAAATAAAGCATCCCTCACCCTAGATAATCCCTAATAAACTTCAAATGTTTGTATGTTTACAATTTTTCTAAGGTATAATGTATCTCTATAGGTAAATGTGAATTTTAATTCCCTTATAATAATATTTTTTTATTCTCAAAACAAATGTACTTTACGAATATAAGTGTAAATGTGCTAAATAAAACACAAACTAATGTATGCTGAAAATAGCTTCTCTGGTAGCTTGAAGCAGTTTCCCTTATTGTCAAAACAAAAAGATGAAGTCATCCTTCATGCCCAAAGCAAACAAAGGTCATTTGGAAAACCATACTTGAAGCATTTCCCATAAACCCTTCAACTAACAAAGTTTATCCGTTTCTTTGATTTAAGTCAAAGAGGTGTAGAGTTTCATTTGGTAACTTTTTTTTTTATATATGTTTATCGAATGCAATGCTTCCACAGTAAACAGGTGCAGCCACACAGCTAAAAAAGAAAGTAAAATACCTTAAATGTAGATTAAAACGGACGCCGCCCTGTAATAGATACAAAAACCATTAGGATCGGCATTTATATATAGTGAAGAAATCAAATAAATAATCGAAAGACATTTGTACTTACAGCAGCGTCCTTTAATCTCGCTCTTCTCAGGTAAGTTCTGCAAATTGCCGTTGGCCACGCCTTTACCTGCTGCTATTCATTTTGACCGCTAGGGGGAGACAGAAACGATAGAATGGGACCCCATGAGTTATTGGGCATATTCCTAATTTAGTTAAGCTTTTAGCTTTTTTCGCGAGAAATATTTACTATATTATTTATTGGAGAATTAGTGCAGAATAAAGTCTATCTATCTATCTATCTATCTATCTATCTATCTATCTATCTATCTATCTATCTATCTATCTATCTATCTATCTATCTGTCTGTCTGTCTGTCTGTCTGTCTGTCTGTCTGTCTGTCTGTCTGTCTGTCTGTCTGTCTGTCTGTATTAATGAATGAATTCAGAACCTTTTGAATTAACTGATCATATCTTATTGTGTACTTGTACACTGAAACTAAATATTATTGTTGGAGCTATTTATTCTTTATCTCTTTATCCATTTGAATTGTGTTAATTAATGTTTAAATTTATATTTTTTTTAATTTATATTTTTATTTAGAGTTTATTTGTAGGTTTATAATTGTTGGTTCTATTTATGTGATGTGATGGGGATCAGTCTGCTTTCTATAAATGTAGGGGCCTGGGAAAGGACCAGCAGGCATTTTGGATTTGGGGCCTTATGGTTTTTACCTGAGCAAGAGAGGTACGACAAAAGAAACGTTTGAACTCTTTAATTGTTGGCAAAAAATAGAAAATAAACCTTCCAGAACCATCATCAAGACTGGACATTGAACCTTTTTGGCCTGTGTGTAGAAACCTGACCCCGGTGCCTTAGTAGTTCCTTAAAGGACGTTTAATTGGATGTTTGGCTTGGCAAACAATCACCACTACAATTATTGAATATAACAGTGTAACTATTTTTGTTTAGTTTTTTGCTGATTGGCAGGACTACCCTAAAAAACAGGACTTTTATCAAAGTTTAACTATGTCCTAGTTAAAGAATGGTTAAAGTAAACAGAATAAAACAAATATATAGCACTACATTATTATTACATGTGGCTTATATAAAGAACAATATATAGTAGTGAAGTGGATTAGAGCCACTGAAAAAACACAAACAACAAAATAAACTCAATGAAACAAAAAAAAAAGCTATTGATTTCTGACTTTAATCTTAGAATTCGGCCTAGTCCTGAATTTTATCTTCGAATTCTGTCTTTAATCTCAGAATACTACTTTATTTTCAGAATTTTTAATGATTCTGGCTTTAATCTCAGAAATGGCCACTTAAGGAAACAGTAAAGGCTTTTGATTTCTGACTTTGATCTCAGAATTCGCACTTTAATATCAGAATTATGATTATTTTCGGAATTTTTACTTCAATCTAAAAATTCTTACTCTAATCCTGAGAATAAAGTCAGAATGATGAATAATTTTATTTGGAACAATTGTTCTAACAAAATCAGTGAAATAGTGACCCCCTGTGGTCCAAGGAGGTAACTGCACCCTGCAGTGACATCACTGCGTCCTCCGTTGCTAGGTTATTCTCGTAAGCAACATCTCCTGTTTCTGAGACACACCCTGTTAAACATCTACATTAATCTTCAGGTACTCTACTATTTCTTTGTGAGTTATTATTTTTTTTAATCATAAGGACATGTTTAGCTGGAGTTTGACCGTCTTGGGCGTTGTCGTCACCGGTTCACGTCGTCGAAATCGATAATTGCAGCCAGGTTAGCTAACTAAAACGGAGGCTGTGTATGCTAGCTATAGCAGCTTCAGCTAACTGTGATGCATAACTTGGCTGTAAAGCTGTAACGACAGTCGGATGAGACTGCATCCCTAACCGGATGATGGCCGCCCAGCCTCTGCAGCAATCCCGGGAGGATTCAGCAACCTGCTAACGGAGCAAATGCTGATGACTGGCTGTTTCCTGCTACTGATTTGCAGGTACCTGGCGACTTTAACCCAAAACTGCTCCTCAAATGATGTAATAAAGCTATTATAATGTATTTGTTTGTATATGTTGATGAACTCTGACCATATTTGTTTACATGTTTTGAAGGCACCATGGCTGGGAAGGTGAAGTGGGTGACAGACATAGAGAAATCAGTGCTCATCAATAACTTTGAAAAAAGGGAATGGGTCCAAGTGACTGAAAACGAGGACTGGAATTTCTACTGGTAGGTTCTTCAACCTTAGAGCAAATTAATCTGAAAGATCAGGTTGGTATGAATAAATATATATATATATATATATATATATATATATATATATATATATATATAACCAGGGGAAAAAAATCCCATTGAGATTAAAAACCTCTTTTAAGAGGTAGCAAAGTTACATAAGAAACATAGATGCATTAAAATAAATGACAGGTACATAAAAAAAAAACATATCAAGTAAAACAATTACAGATCATTGAGGCTGCTTCAAATACTTTTACTTTCAACTTAATAGCATTTAAAGATAAAAATTCAGTCAACTTGTCATAAAACACGGGACAGATGGACCCAGTATTCAAGGTGAGACAGTCAGTAGGAAAGTTCAAAACGTTTATTAATATAGAAATATAAACAAACAGAAAATAAAGTGGAGCTGCTAGGATCTGCAACTCTCGGATGCTGCACGAGAGAGGTGGGGAATCGACACTGAGGTTCAACAGTCCAGTCCATCTCCCTGGAAAGGGGCGCAATCCAGGCGTAGAGGACTTGCAGGAAGCCGATCCTGGACAGGGATTCAGAACAGGCAGGAACAGACAGAACAGTCAGGATCCAGGCTTCCAGGCAGGTTCAGAGTCCAGAAACGTGACCAGGTGGACACGCACAGGAGCAGACAGGATCAGGTGCAGACGCGCAGGCTCAGTGGAAGAGGGTAGCCAAGACAGGACCTGGAACCAGAACTTAAGCAGGACCTTTAAACTGCTCTCCACCTTGGAGCCAGGCTTACTGGAATTAAAACTGAACCTTCGTGCGTAAAGAGCAAAAAACCCAGAGAAATCAGCAGGGAAGCAACAGTTGACGAGCAGGAGACGAAACAAACACAAAACCCTCTTTCCTCTGGCCTCCAGAACCTTAGAACACTTGAACTGAACAGAAAACATCTAATGATCTGACCATGATAGCTGGAACTGAGCCCAATATAAGGGAAACTGGCAGGTGGATGAGATGAATGATAATTAGGAGCTGGAAAGAGTAAAGCAGGTGAAAGGCATGAGTGATTAAGGCCAGCTATCACAGCAGATCATGACACAACATACAGTTGTAATAGATACATGACACAACTTACAGTCTTTGTAAAAAAAATTCTACACAGAATAAGCTGCGTAGCTAAAGGCTTCCTTCCCTAGTTCTGTGTGGGTAAAATAAACAGTGACCAGCTAATGGTTGGATCTCAGGGCATAAGAAGCCAGGCTTTTCTGTGTAAGTAAGGTACAAATGGAAGAGGGCAGTAATCCAAGAAGGGCCTTGTAAATAAAAGTGTACCAATGACACTGCCTTCTTTTAGAGAGGGAAGGCCATCCCAGCTGAGAGTACAGGTCACAGTGATGTCATGGCTCTACAGTTTGTGATGAACCTTAATAAAACATGGTAAACAGAGTCCCACATTTGAAAAAACGTCAACATAATCTAAGAATGTGGCAGAGATAAGGCACTTTTTTACTCCAAAAGAAAAGAAGAAGCCCAGTTTAACTTTTAATTTCTTAACAAGTTTATCAATAAAAGGTATATAACAAATACAGAAAAAAATGATAGTAGCTTTCCTTCAGAACAGGAAAATCAAGAGCACTTACCTCTAAAGTATAGGAAATTAATACAAGAAATTAACTTCTCTTAACTTGCCTGCATCAAAAATGGGTCAGCCATTCTCTGACTACATGTAAGCTGATTTGATCACCTTTGTTTTCATTGTTTATGAAACTCTGAAAGTAGAAGGCTGCTTACACATTGTGCTATAAGAAGGGAAAACTACACAAGTGGAAACCTATATTCAGAGGAAGGTAAATTTGAAACCATATTGCATTAGTAATAGGGACAAATTAATAAAATCTTTATGTAGAAGTGATGAACGCATTACTAGTAAAGCTATAAATGTTTTGCTTATAAATTTTATCTGGGATTTGGGGATTTATATTTAGATATGATTGGTTTGATGAGGAAATGTTTGATTGTGAAGCAGTTTATATTTTTGAACCTGACTTCCTGAGATCACATTCAAATTCATGTGTTCCAACATGCAGGATGAGCATCCAGACCATCAGGAATGTGTTCAGCGTGGACACCGGCTACCGGCTCTCAGATGAACAGTTAGTGAATCACTTTCCCAACCACTACGAGCTGACCCGGAAGGACCTGATGATCAAGAACATCAAGCGGTACCGCAAGGAGTTGGAAAAGGAAGGCAGTCCGCTTGCAGAGAAGGACGAGAACGGCAAATACATTTATCTGGGTCCGCTTCCTAGCAGGTTGATTTATGTACAGTAGATGTTGATATTTATGTGACCAGTGCTGATGTGCGTTTTTTATAAATTCCTCGTGCAGATTTTGTTCCTGTGACGTTCATGCTCCCTGCGGATTACAATTTGTTTGTGGAGGAGTTTCGCAAGAATCCCTCCAGCACCTGGATCATGAAGCCCTGTGGTAAAGCCCAGGGGAAAGGCATCTTCCTCATCAACAAGCTGTCGCAGATTAAAAAGTGGTCACGAGACAGCCGCACCTCCACGTAAGACCAAAAAAACACGTTCTCCTCGAATTACGAGGGAAAGTGTTACTATGAAGTTCTTTGTGGATGTTGCTGCTGATGCTCAGCTTCATTCTGCCTCCAGGTTTGTTGCAGCATCCAGCGGGAAAGAGGCTTATGTCATCTCTCTGTACATCGACAATCCTCTGCTGATAGGAGGGAAGAAATTTGACTTGCGGCTTTATGTTCTGGTAACGACATATCGGCCTCTAAAGTGCTACATGTAAGCATCCTGTTTGTGCATGGAATATTCACCAGGAAACGACGATCCATTTAATAGATGATAGTTCAGCATTAGAATAAATTAATCATGCTGTAGCCCGTGTAGCTGTGTCTCTTATCTCGTGTTTTTCTGTAAGGTACAAGTTGGGCTTCTGCCGGTTCTGCACAGTGAAGTACACCCCCAGCACCAGTGAGCTGGACAACATGTTTGTGCACCTCACTAATGTGGCCATCCAAAAACACGGGGTGAGTTTCCATCACAGGAAGAAAAAAAACACATTTTAGAAGACTGAAACTTTAATGAACTCAGGAGAAGTGCAGAAGTTAGACTCTGATATATTCAAAATGGGAGTAATGTTACTTTAGCTTGACGCTATTAGAGGTATTTCGTTGTCTTAATAATGTTAAAGTTCCACAAAAATGATCTAACGTAGCAGTTATAGAAAGAACTAAAGTAAATACACCCCTTAATTTGATTGCTTTTGAACCAAATCATCATCCTCCCACCTCTGTGCTTAAAAGTTTATTGGATGTGATACTTTTGATTAGTGTCCCTTGATTCAATCAGATAGACTCCTTCCAGTTGTTTGCTAATACTAGATGGGGCAGTATCTAAGCACAGGGTTTCTGCGGATCATTATAAATAATTAAAACTCATTAAATTATAAATTTTTAAATTAAGACCTTAATTGGCATTAAAATTCATTAAATGTGATTATCACGACATTTAAAGTGCTTTATATATAAAAAAAAAAAATTGTCAAATATATCAGATTTAACTGGTTCCATGTGTTTGCGTGAAACTGCTCCTGGTTGATCCTAAAGCCGTATGTGCGGAACAGAAGCTCGAGGCACAGAAAAAGATAGAGAATGGGAAAATGCTAATTTTAACGTAAGTGACTGGAAAACAAGAAATTTGGGACATGGCTGCAGCCTGTCGATGGTAAAGATATTTGAGAGTAATGGGAACTTATTGATGACATTAAAATTATTTCTAGGAGCACAAAATTAGAGTTCCTCCTTCCTGTATAAACCCTGAAGCAACCCGAACAAACAAAACATGTTAGTTCCACGGCTTTCTGGTTCTCTTCTTATTAATGTACATTAGCATGCCAACTTAGGCTTGTAGAAATAGAGGTAGATTTTTTTGTTTTTGTTTTACTTTATGCAATTTCTCTTGAGGTTATTTTAGTTGGACAATCCTCTCCTACCAAAAAACAGCAATTTTATTTTGTGGTTAACGTAACAGGCAGTAAAAATTGCTTTAATGAACGCAGGTGGTGATGGGATCTAACTCTTAGAGATAAGAAGCAGAGATAAGAAACTCAGTTTGCCCATTACAAAACCCACATAAACTACTTCTTTGTAATTTTTTCCCTACAGGATGATTACAACCATGTTCATGGAGGAAAGTGGACCGTCAGTAATCTTCGCTTGTACTTGGAGAGCACCCGAGGGAAGGAGGTGACTAACCGGCTGTTTGACCAGATCCACTGGATCCTGGTTCAGTCACTGAAAGCCGTTGCAGTAAGTTTATGAATAAATGAGCTACAGTTGCTTGTTTCATTTTATTTTTCCTCTATTTCATTTTCATTTTCTTTACTGGGTGTACTTGATCGATGCTGTGTTTTCTTAATATACTGATTATTTTGAAATCAATCTGATCAAACCCTGATATGTGCTGCCGCTTTTTTAAGAAAGGTCCTCTTTATAGTCCAATATTGCTTTCATTTCTCTCTTTACATGACAAGAATGACCGATATACGAGTCTCAGTTTAAATAAATGTATTAACAACATTAATTGTTAAAACATTAACAATTGAGTGGCAATAAATTCGCTTCTCGTAATCTCAAGCTATGGTGACTAAATGCACAAATAAATCATCAAAAACATAAACGTATTGAGTGACACCAATACAAGAAAAAACTGTTATCTCTGCTGGGGTCGCGATTTCTGATCGCTGATTTCTTAAATGTTTTTATACCTTAAAAACTCTTAAAATTTTCTCCTGAAAAAATGTAATTATGCAAAGGTATTCACAGCTCTTCTGCTTT